GTACAGCTTACTTGTTGGATCTCAGTGTCCAGCAACTTGCAGAACAACGAGTAAAGGCTATGGTTTGGTTCGTGTTACACATCTTCAGGTATGTCAAGAACAGATGTATCATACATCCCATTGATCTCTTATTTGCTTTTTAACCTGTATCCTTCCATTATTAGATACAGAGAACCTAAGAAGGCTGTGTTTTCATGTTTTAACATGACATAAAAAAGTAAAAAGCACTTTTACATTTCAAGATGAAATTACATAATGAACAGAAAGACAATACATTAAGGGCAAGTGCTCAAATACAAAAATGTATTAGAAAACAAAAATTCTTGATACATTCTGAGTATGACATATGTTTACATCTTATGTACAACTGTATTGCCTTCATCTTAAAATCTCACATTTGCAAGGTATTGTCTGCTTTTTATTGTACAAAGACACAAGGCAGACTTTATGGCACAATTAATTTGCTCTTTTTAGATCATTAAAAAAACAAAAAAGTATTAAAATCAAAACATAATAATGTTCAAAATAATGAAATGGAAAAAATATATATAAAAATCCCCTAAATACTACTTAAATCAGTTTAAGACTCAACCTTTCTCTTGTTTTCCGTATTTGAAAGAGAAAAATATTTTTATATTTTCATTTTTCCTTTGACAGCTGTATTCAGAACTAGTTTCTTATTCTTGAGAATCATACCCCAGAGTGTCAAGGAATAATTTGCCCTGCATGTCCTGCTTCGCCCTCTGACGCAGATGCCCAACCTTGGACAGACTATCTCCAAGGTTAAGGTGGTTGCCCTGTCCTGCCCCTTGTGCCTGTCACTTGGCAGGCAGCCCCCTGTCAAGGTTAAGGAGGGGCTGCCCTAGCATTTTGTTGTTGTTACCAGTTTATGACCAGGCAACACTCGGTCAGAGATAGTTATTGTTGTGGGACACCTGGAACACATCCTTCTCGGGGTGTAGATGACCCGAGCCATAAGTGACAACAAATGTGACTCAGTGCCCTCAGCTGTTTTGTCAATCTATTGAAGAATGTTGATTATTACACTTTGAACTAGTTAAAACCTCGAGCTACCGGAGGGTTCTTCAGCATTGATTTGGCATCTCTACCCTGTGGTCAACCCGTGGCTCATGACATGTCTTGTGAATTCTCCGGCCGAAGCTCCAAATAAACCGTCAGTGTTTGCCATCAAAACTCCAGCTCTCCTCGTGTCTCTCTGAGTCCTGTTTCCAATTGCTTCAGAAGTTTCCCCCACAAAACAATGTGTCACAAGACTGGACCAATATTTACAGATTAACATTGTGAGCATTATTCCATTACTTGGATGTCACTGGCAACGACTCCGTCGAATGAAAAGCCCAAGTAGAAGGTAACTTGTTCATTTCCATTTGGCAAGGAAGCAGAATGTCGAGGATGGACCCTGATTTTGCCGTCTCTGGTTCCACCTTTCACAAACAAGCTTCCATTTTCTGTCCATCCTTCAACACGTTGCAGTAGCTTCATAACTTCCTCGTTTTTCCATACTTCTCCTCCAAGCCATTTCAGGTTTCGTTCACTTAGAGTGCCTTTGACCAGTGCTTCGATAACCGTTTTGTGTACAAACTTGTTAAGACCTTTTGGCTTTGCCAGAAAGAAGTGGGTCAACAGTTTCCTCCGACGAGTATTAAGGCTTTTTTGCTCAAAGAGTCTCTGCAGTGCATTAATGGCTGATAAAAGGAGCTGAGCATCAGCAGAACTGAGTTCCTTGCCAGATTCAGGCCAAAACAGAAGGGAGAGAAGGAAGAGGGCACTCGCACTTGACATGTTTTTCCCCTTGGTAATAAATCTCTTGCTGAGATATTGCAGTTTGTCAAGGGACAGGAGCTTTGAGGACCCAGGTAGAGTACAGTTAAGAGCTATCTGGCAAACAATATAGTTTGCAAGTTCTGTTGGCTCCAAGCTATTACTTCTCAGGTTTTCTGGGTACATTTCAATAATTGTCTCGAGTTTTTTTCCTGCCCTCTGTGGGTCCTTGTCAAAAAGCAATGAGAGGATGGATGTAAAATGTCCTCCACCAAGCTTGTAGGTCCTAATCTGTCTTTGGAATGGAGAAAGCCCTTCAGCTTGACTGGCAATGTCAGTACTGTCGCTTTCAGCTTCTTGGTCACTCTCATCTGATATAATGCAAAAGAATTCAGCATATACAGCACTCTTCCTTCTCAGCCATTTTTTTGGACTGTACACTTGTTCTGGATCCCTCGCATCAAGTTCTTCATCCTCTTCGCTAATGTCGGGTTGAAAGTAGCTGAGGTCTTCTGAAATGCACTCAAGTGCGTTGCATAAGCTCTTTTGTAATCCTTTCAACTGATGATGAAACCCCTGCCAGGGTTTTTTTACATCTTCTGGTATGTAGTCTGTTAACAAGTACTGCATCAACTCTGATTTTCCAGTATTGTTTGAAAAAATATTGACTTCTGACAGGAATTTTAGCAGCCTGCAGCCAACATCTACTTCCCCGTAGTACGAACGGTTGACAGCCTCTTTCGTTAATGATTTCTCGGAGGCCCGGAAGGCAGAGATTCCTTTGAGGGCAGTGCTTATGATTTTAATGTCGCTTTCAGGGGATGGTGTCCTAGTGTCAAACAAGTGGTAAAACCACTTCTTGTAAACTTGTCCTAAAGTATCAAGGACAAATGGATCAAGTGGAAGAAGAGATTTTGCTTCCTCTGCCCATTCAAGGGCCTCTTCAAATCTGAACTTTGTGTAAAGCAGCCGGGCAAGCTGTTGTGCAACATATGGATCTTTACCCAAAGCTAGGTAAGCAGCTTTCATGAGATCAACAGCTTTCTGTACACCACCTTTTTCGGTGCTGATATGCTCAATAAGGGGTGAAAAAGCTGTGTCTACAGAATCACCTCTGCTCTTTTTACTGCGTTTGATGAAAAGATCTCTGATGAACTTCAGCAACTCGTCTCTGGCAAACCTATGATTGATAAGTACTTTGTCAGTGATGAGATCCATGGCAATATCACTCTGAGGAAAAATTGCAGACAGCTGAGTCAAAATTTCCTCCGCCAACTTTGGATGAATAATCCTTATTGATGAGATGTGTGTTGATGATTCATTAAGGTGGATGAAAATAATCCGAGCTTCATCACTGAGCTGATCCACAAAGGCATGGTACTGAGCTCTCTCAACATGGGTAGCTATGCCAAGAGATGCCTCGCAGTGAGATACAGATAGGTAAGAGTCTTCAACATAGTAGTTCAAGAGAGCCACAAATCTGATGAGGCGAGTGGTGCGTGATGAATGATCAATTTTAAGTAGAAGGTTTTTCACAAAATCTTCAATGTAACTTTTCTTGAACCCTTCAATCAACAGCACAAATGTGAGGATGAAGTTTGCTTCAAACTTCAGCTTGAGTTGCTCAAGTTTTTTTGAGAACAAAGGTTTCTCTTCATTTGTAAGCTGATGTCTGACTGCCACTGTTTGTGATGATGATTCTCTGCACATTTTTTCTGGTTTGTTTGACCTGTTGCAAATAAGGAGGATAAAGCACAACACAGAAGGATTTCTTTTTTGGGTTGCAACGACATTTCCAAGTTCCCGCCTGAGATCATGTATGTAATCTGCATTGCGGTCCTCCAAGAGCAAGAGCACTGGCAAACAGTTGTCTTTGTCTCTCTCGTCATGTTCTCTCAGTCTCACTGCATGTTCACACACAGTTGTGATTTCCTTACTCTGTTTAACCACTGCACATCGCACTTTCTTTCTCCAACTCCAGAGGATCTGTCTTGCCACTGTACTTCCACCACTGCCAGGTTGATGATATATGTTCACACTCTCAATGGGACGTATGGCCTTGGGACGCTGTTTAATCTTTTCCAGTATTGTGCTTGTTTCATTATAGGCATCCCTCTTTATGATATTTCCACACTTTTGTTTGTCAGACAGCCAGAAATTGATCCACTTTATCTTTCCACCATGATAGAAGTTTCTCTCAATCTGTTGGATTTCTTCCTCACTCATGATATCCACATTTGTATCATCACACTGGTCAACACTGATGATTTCCAAAGAATCTAACATAGCCTCTTCAACTGACTTTAAGAAGCAAAGTGCTCCGTTAAAGACAGGTAATGTCCTGGTGGGTTGATTCTTTGAGAGCTGAATGCTTTGAACTGTGGCGTCCACATGACTCAGTGGCATTTCAACAATGCTGATTTCTTTGAGTGAAGACATATGGCAAGACACCTGGGCAAGACTTGCCCAGTTTTCGTAGTTTTCCTTTGACTCAGATATTACTGCCAAAAAATCATTTCCATTCATCTCTGCAAAGAATTCATGGAAAGTCTCAACAAGTGGCTGCTCAATATGAGACATGAGCAGGAAAAGGACTACAAATGACTGCCTGGGAAGGATGTCATTGCAGATGAGAGATACTGCCTTTTTCAGTTTCTTCTTTCTTGTTTTGATCCACGTCTTTTCATCACAGGTTTTCTCTCCTCCGGGAAAGTTTTTTCTTCCATTGCAGAAAATCCAGCTTGTTCTCTCAAAAAGCTGCAACGAATCAACAAAGTCTGAAGGTTTTAATCGATCATTATTTGCGTAGTTATCAAGAAAGTGAAGGTTTACAGCCTTCTGCTCCTTGTATTTTCCACAAAGACCAGATTTTTTTGAATCAGGGTCAAAATCAAACACACAGAAGATATTCATGTGTAGCAAGAAGCTCATGTGGCTGAGATGCTCGGTGTGAAATTTGTTGGTCACTATGATGTAGAACATGGAGTCGTCCATATGAGTTTTCCCACATGTTAAGAGGATGGAGAGTTTCCTCTCTTGATCCTCTTCACATTCAACAGTTGTTTGATTGCTTGAAGATTCTGCATCTTCTCTCTGTTGGTCTTTCTCCCTGAGTCTTTGAATGAAAAGAAAAAGGTCATCCTCTGGTATTTCTTTTGTGTTAGCTCCAACTCTCTGAAAAGGGACTTTCTTTTCAAGTTTGTTTTTTTTGTCATTGTCAGCGAGTTTTGGGAGACCAACATAGAAAAGCTTGTCTTTCACAATGCTTGCTTTTAGTACAACATCATACTCAATGACCCATGTTTTCTCACTAGTTTCCTCACTAGTTTCCTCACTAGTTTCCTTGTCAAGGACCTCAATGAATCGGGGGTTCCTTATGCAACTCCTGGCGTCGCATTGTTGATCTGACCCTTTAAAGCTTTTTTCAATGTAGTCTAGTGCATCAACAAAATCCTCTGGACTACTGACAGGAAACCCTATGATTTCACCATGCCGATGTTTACCGCTATTTTTATCCGTAATCCCAAAATGAATGGTCCCATTGCTTCGTACATTCATGCACGCACATGCAAATCTTAACACCTCAAATGCTACCTTTAATTTTAGACTATTTGAGTTTAGTTTGTGCGAATTCTCCAGGGACTTATATTCATGACATGGATCAATCATGTTTTCAATTCCTGTTTCTGGAGGTAGCACACTGTGTTTGATGTATCTGCAGTTTTTTTCATGCTTGTCAAAGTTACGAAAGTCACAGAGCGATCCTTCTGTAGAAGTTAAGTTATCACCCAGCTCTGTAGGGCTACTGACCCCTTCTGCTCCTTCACAAGGTTTTGGTTTTTGTGAACAGGGGTTTGGTTCTTGGCCAGGATTTAATAGCTTTCCTTTTACAATGTCCCTCTTCTTTTCACCTAAATCAATTCCTTTTTTGAGTTTGTTTGGTTTAGATTTTAAAAGTTCATCTCGTTTGTTCAGAAGGAGTTCAATTTGGCCACTTTTCATTTCAATTGTGGTGCTGAGGAACTCCCTCTGTAGAGTTGTGAGAACTGGTCCTGTTACCTCCTCCTCTTGCATTTTAATTATGTAATTTTCTTTTATTCCAATGCATTTCAACCAGGAGTTCACATGAGATTCTGTCCATTTTTCACAGGACAGATCACGCCATCCTGTAAAAATAAATTGTACATTTCTAGTGTCATAAAAAAGCAGTTTAATATATTCAGCCAGTTTGGTGTACCAATAAAGACTGAAAAGAAGAACTGCTTACTTAAATGGCTTAGAGTAGCTACTTGAGGGGCCGTGCACATAACTGTTTTTGTACAGCGTGACACGTCTTCAGGATTCTGATATTTTAAGTTGTATTAAAATATTGCCCATGTGACTGCAGTGTTTTCCCAACGCAACCCCGTTACATTATTAGAATAAGACTTAATATTTTCAAAGTTATCTTTATTTAGTTAAATATCTAAGTTTGTCCTTGCCTTGAAAGTAACATATAATTCTGCAGCTATAATTCATTATTGAGGTAAACGCTAACAAGCATTGATTTGCAACCCTGTTACTATCCGAAGAGTAATATGGTTGCGCTACAGTTACAGGGTTGCATTTGCTGCGGTTCAATTTATTATCTTTAGTTAAATGAAATGTTTAGGCATAATTTAGCATAATCTACATGTTTTAAATCTATTGCTGTATTTTCCCAGAATACGAATTGCCTTTTTTGTATTGCTACTGTACCGGACTGTAAAATATGAGGCATGAGGCATTAAGTTACATAAAAGCAGACACCCTACTATTTAATCTTGTTATTTACATTTATTTACAATTTCATGTTCACCAAGCTTCGTTACAAGTATCTACTGATATTTAGTTTGTGTGCTGTTATACAGTTTAACCTGTAGATGGTGCTCTACACACACGTTAGCGTATGTAATGTTCTGGCAATCCCTTGACTTCTTCGCTCTTATCCCAAACCAGAACGTCAGACCTCTAGCAATGTAAGTGTAGAGCACCATCTACAGGTTATTTTTTTATTTTATTTTTTGCCAAAGAATTGCCAACTCCGGTTAGCATGTTAGCATGTAGCTTAGCTCGCGATGCTAGCGCGAGTTAGCCGTTAGCTTGGTATTCTTTCATATTGTAGCTGGTTAGCGATACACGGTCGTGACGCAATGATATAATGCCTTTCGTTATAATTTAATGTGGGCTTCAGAGAAATGTTGGTAGATGAATAGAAGAGTTATCCAATGTTAATAGAGGAGTTTATTACCACATGAATTAATTACAGAAGGGGCCTAGCCATGCTAGTAGTGTGTTGTATTCATGTAAAATGCTATTGTGGTTAACTAAGCACCTTGCTAAGGCTCATTGTAAATGTTTCATAAGTTATGAAGAACACTTATTCTGTTCTTGTTAATATGTGTAGCTTTATAAGGAATGAGTTTGTAATAGTTAGCATGTGAATGACACACTCATGTGTAGTAACATGTAAGGTATATATGCACAATATACAGATAATTCACTTATTGTGTAAAGAAAAGGGAATATTACACATGTATTTAAGTTGATTTATTTCAATTCAGAGTTTATTGTTTAATTAATTCTATATGTGAATGAGAAACATAAATAACTATGTTATTTTGAGAGATATAAATATATTTTAAGATTTTGAATAAAGCCAGAACATTCCATACGCTAACGTGTGTGACTTCTTGTCATTGTTCTCAGCCGTTTCAGATCCCAATCCTGAGACAGGTAACATTTTGGGGGCTCGTCCGGGATGACCTTGAGGAGGGTCCTGCGGAAGCTCTTCTGTCTGGGTTTCCTCTGGGTGAACCCTCCTTGCTTCTCCCCCGCCGTGTTGCCCCCCCCCCCCTCAGGGTGCTGGCGCTGCGGGTGAGGTTGGTCTTGATGCTGGAGAAGAGCTCGCTGAAGGGGGGGAACCCTCAGCTTCCTGTCTGTGGGGGGGGGCGTCGGGCCCCTCCTCTGTGGTGCTCTGGACGCAGCTGGTGGAGCTGCAGCGGAGCGAGCGTTTCTCCGCAGGACTCGGGGTCCCCACGCTGCCGTACACCCCTGCTGACTCGGACACCGCCGCATCACTCAGGACGATGCCATGCACCAGCCTCTGCTCCTGAACAAGAGAGAGAGACACCTCAGTCGTTGGCAAACAAATGGGCAACGAGAATGCAGGAAGCGTACAAAATAGATTCAGACAACAGCCAGAAGTCTTCTGCCAAGGGTAAAAAATACTATGACAGGCGAGTGAAAGGGACAAATCTTCAACCGGGAGACAGAGTCCTCGTCAGGAACCTCTCTGAAAGAGGTGGACCTGGAAAACTTCGTCCTTACTGGGAAAAGGTTGTTCACCGTGTAGTTGAGAGAATCAAAGACGGAAAGGTGTACAAGATCCAACCAGAAACTGGTGGCAAGACATTGCGTGTGTTACATCGAAACCTATTATTGCCAGTGAATGACTTACCTGTGGAGTTAGAAAACCCTCAAGAACCTGTGGTGAGGAGGAACAAAGTAAGGAGAACTGAAATAGCTGAGAATGGGGATAAGGAGGAGGCAAGCTCGGATGAAGCGGAATGGTACTACCCGCATGAAGTCAGTACTTCTGTAAGCCAGAGTCTTCCCAGACCACAAAGACATGTCTCAGAGCAGAGCAGAAGACTAAGAGTGACTGCCAAAGAGTGACTGCCAAAGAGTTTACGCCGGTTCCAGTTCAGAAGGAGCAGCAATCAGACATGCAGGAAGAGGACAATCAGCAACCAGAGCAGTC